ATTGAAGTAGCTCAGAAAAAATTTTTCCGTTTCTATATGTTTTATATAAAATTAGATATAAATAATATTTATATGAATAATATTTACATCAATAATTATAAATATTTTCATCGATCTTGTCGTTTGTACCATGTAAACTGTAAAAAATTCAAATTACGGTATAAAGTGAATTCAGGGTACAGGTACATTTTACCGTAAAAAGCATTTGTATAGTAACATGTTAGGAAACAAAAAAAATGTCATATACCGTAAATTAAAAGTAATAATTACTGTAAAATCATTAAATTACTCGAATTAAATGAATATTACGGTGAACATTACGATATATTATTTTACTATAAAGTGTATTTTATTAATGATGCGCCTAAAGTGCCGGTACTTTATACCATATTTTGATCTGGAATTTTTTACAGTGTAAAAATAAGCTATCAATATTATTACTACTGCGCTTAATTTCAGTCTTTTATATAGAAACTTGATTGCAGAAACCTTCCATCACGGAAGCAAGCGCTGCAGATTATCACACCATATGCAGATTAAAATAATAAACTTCTATCAAGGCAATATCTAATTTTTTTTGAGTAAATAAAATTCCCAAATAAAGCAGAATTCAAATAAAAAAGTAGAGATTTTTTCCTTCTAACCTCTCTGATGAACGAACCCCCTACACCTTTTTTTTTCTTGAAATCGGACAAACAAAACAATTTATCATGCAGGTGCAGTCTGCTAGCAGTGCTTCAATAACATAATTGTCGAAATTTTAAGTTTGCAGAAATATTAAGCTTGCTGAATAATTTCATTTATGATCAGGAAAAATTTAGTTTTACTTTCCTTTAGAAAACCTTATTTTAAAGGTTTTGCACAGAATAATTTTTTACTTGAGTATTTTTCAATACTAATGTTATCAGAAATATTTTGAGATCAGCTTTTAAATTTTATTATATCTGCTCTACTACGCAAAGCTCAAAAACTGTCGTGATGTCAGTGGCGGTGTTAAAATATATTCTTGCTTTTAATTTATTTCTTTTTTCCTTTTTCTTATTTTTTTTAAATAATTTAAGATTTGAATGCGTATAGAAATTATTAAAGCTCCTGTGTGCTGCCAAAAACATAATTCATATCGTGCCCCTACTTAGAACAAAATTTTATTCAAAAATTTAAAATAAAAATTTTAATTGCAAATGAAAATCAATTTCTATTAAGGAATTTTTTTCCTCCCCCTACAATACGAAATAATAAAATAAAATTCTTCAAAACATTTTATGAATTAATATTGAATCTTTAACAGATAATAAACTTTAAAAAGTCAATTCCCTAATTTTGAATAAAGAGTTTTCCTGTACCAAAATATTCAAAAATAATCTTAAAACTACAACTTTTTGAAAACTAAATATTATGAATAGCATATTGAAAGCTGGATCTTCTTAATTAAATATTTAATGTTTTTGAGGAATATGGTCACATTTCGTTTTCAATTGAAATATTGTACGTATGGATTTTACAACCTTCAAAACTATTTCGTGACAAAATTCAACAAGCGTGTTTAATTTTATTTTATTGAAATTACATTGTCTCTGTCACAGTATTTTCTCTCTGTATTTTAAGACCTATAAAAGCTAGTTTAGCTGACTTACATTAGATGGCAGCACTTAAATAACTTTACGCACTCAAAAAATAGAGAATGAAATACTACTTTCATTTAAACAGAATGAACTTTATTTGATGTTTGTAACTCGTATTTGCAAAATATTTTTTTATCATACAATTATGAAAGTCAATATATTTAAAAAATTTATATATTACTGTTATTTTTTGCATACAATATAATTTTTTTTACATAAAATATATTACTGCTTCTTTTTTTCCCTGAGCGTTCAATTGATATAAATATCGCTATGCTTTAAAAATTTTAAATAGGATTCTAATTAAGAAACACAAGAAAAATATATCTTTTTTTACATCGCAATAATTATTTTTTATTTTAATATTAAGCATCATCATTTTGCTTTTAAATTTTACAAAATATGTACTTTTAAAACTCAAAGCTACTGTTTAAATTTTTATATTGTTTCTATAATAGTTAGTTAAAAAAAATTAAATTTTGTTTTAAATGAATAGCAAAATTAAATATTTATTCCATTATGCTGATTCTGTAATATAAGTTATACAATTTTAAAAATGTATAGTTTTTAATTTGTGTATTTTTAACCTTCACTGTGTGATTTTTCTTTGTTTCGTATATTTCAAAGACTTTCGAATAATCTTTTTAATTTCCAGTTCTTTGTGAACGCAGTTCAAATTAAATAATAAAAACTTTAGTAACCCTTAACCAATTTAATATTTTATTGCATATTAAAGCAAAAAAGAAATTTTAAAAAAAATACCTAAAGAGATCATTTTAGTTCATTTTAATGAATAATATACATGGTCTAAAATGAGGAAACAACAAGGGAATAAAGTCCTGTATTTGCAGAGATTTGCAACCGTATTGATCTGCATGCCTTTAAACTAAAACTGGAGAAATTTTATCAGAAGGAGTTTAGTCCGATAAAAGGCGATTCAGGAAATTCTATTCACTAGAAAGTCGGAACAAGCAGCTGCTGTACAAGATGAATATGAGAGTAAATGTATAAGAGAAACAAATAATAAAAAAAGGTCACAAAAGAAAACTATGTAAAGCAATGTTATAAAACTACCATTTTTAATTGTGAATAACAGAAATTTTGTTTTAAAGGTATTTAAATTTTAGAAAAAATGGGTGTCTTAAACAATAAAATAACCAGGATCAATTTAAAAAATAAGAAGCAAGTTGTGTTTATGCTACTATTTTTAATTTACTTTATATACTCTTTTTCAGTGTTGAGAGTGCTCCTTAATTATTTACATAACTGTTGAACTAACTGAAAAACTATACTAGATCATTGCCAGAACTAGGATGTTGATTATCTTAAAAAAAGATGCAAAAGAAAAAAAAAAATCACAAATCAACATAAAAAGTAAAAGTGCCCAAATGCAAATTCTTATATCTTGAAAAACACTATTAACACTTGTTAGTTAAAAATACTTAAAATAATAAAAATTATTACAAAACTTAGGCTAGTTTGTAAGAAAAGAAATTTGTCCACACGCTAAATGCTCTTAAAATTATATATATTATTCAAAATTTATGGTTTACTGAAACATAACCAAAAAGTGGGGGAAAGGACTCAAAACCGATGAATGATATCCTATGCAGGAAAAGCAACCAAATAGGGCTTAAAAATAAAAATTGTCATCAGCATCCTTGCCCTAGAAGTTTTATTAATTTCCCACTTGTGGACGCAAATGGTAAACGTGATCTAGATAGTTTTCCAGTTATCCACTATCTCTTCTTTGGTACTAGAACCCGCTATCATTTAACACTTTAAAACCTAGCCAGGTTCTCGAATCTCCAATCTATTTTTATCAATAAATAAACCCACCATCTTTTTATTGGTCCTTGAACCCGTTTTCATTTTTCTGTATTCGAACCCACTATAAATTGATCAATAATTCAATCCACTATTTTTATAGGTACTCGAACCCACAAACATTTAATAAGTACTTTATGCTACTATCATATGATCATTACTTTAATCCAGAATCTTTTTTATCGGTACTCCAACCGGCGATCATTTGAACATATTTCGAACCCTATTTCTTTCAATTGGCGATCGCAACGCTCGAATACGCCATCTGGGGAGAGACCGGTTTCATGCCTTTGGCCCTTCTCCCTTCCATCTCCTCCTCTTTTCAGTTGTTTAGGAATATACTACGATATTTTCCCTTTTCTTAATATTTTTCTTTTTTATTTAATAAAAATATTTTTTAAAATTTCCGTGGTGTTTATCCTTAGAACTATATTTAATGTAGTTTTCAGTTCCATATAGTTTTCCAACTAAAAAGATTTTAATCTATATGAAAATCAAGAGTGAAACTAACGTACTTCCTTTTTCTATGACTCTCCAGATGTTGACTCAAAATAACTGATAAATGGATTCCCACATCTTGGAAAAGATCACCAGTGTCCATCAAATGTTCCTCTTTCCGAACATGCTGTATTGTGACTAATAAGTTCATATGAGAACAAGAGTAGAAATGTTACTACAGATAACATTTCTACTACATTGAAACTTACAGAGGCATTAAAATCCGAAAACACCAGCCTTGTAGGAACTGTAAAATGCTTAAGAGAAATACCAGTCTCCGTAAAAGTGTCCAAATCCAAATTGCATTAGACTGCTGTACTAACTCATAAGGACATCAATCTAACTGTTTATCAGGGGGAAAAGATGAAAATGTTTTGCTAAGTAGTCTTCATCCAACTGATGAAATTACAAATATTTCAAAAAAATAACCCGATACCATTGCTTTCTACAACTAAATTTGGTGAAGACAGCATTTTGGACCTAGCTGCTATCAATGCTTGGGTTTTATACAAAGCTGTAACTGGAAAGTCTACTAGTAGACGCCAATTTATTCAAGGCCTAATTGAAGAGATCCGAGAAAAATTTGTTCACTCCTAACAGAAAAAAATATCACAGGTGTACAAGCAACCACTGAAAACGACGAACAACAAGTTAAGTGTAAACGAGTTCAATGCCTTAGTTCAAAATGTGAAAATAAAACGAAAGATGTTTATTCAAGTTCTATTTGAGGTAAATGTACAAAACATATTACTAAATTTTGTGCTGAGTGCATATAATAAATTGGATTTAAAAAATTTGAAAAACAAGTAAATAAGAGTAATTTTTTTAAAATTAAAGTCTTGGAACAGCAGAATTCTCATAATATTCCACACTGATTACATTGAGCTTTCACAGCAGTTTATGGGAATAAATTAACAGCATTTCTGAGAAAAATACAGAAAATCAAACCATGCATTTAAATATTTTCACTGTTCTTCTTATATTTTTCAAATTAGTTATTTCAGAGGCACCTAGTCATTAGTGCTATAAAAATATGCAAAAAAGCAGACAATATTTTTATTTACAAATTTATTAAAATCATCGTTAAGTACACATTAAGAAAATTTCAAGAACATAAATTTGCTTTTTGAGTAAAGGCAATATACCATAGGACCATACTTGTAGCAGCAGCAATGAATTCAGTAGATACCATGGGACCATAATATGTACCCTAAAAACAAAGCAATTTTAAAAATTAGAAATAATTCTCAATGATTCACATTTGGTAAAGTTATATCACAGAATTAGGATTCAGCATATTAAGGCATTTATTAATAAAACAAAAAAAAAATATTTTTTTTAAAAAAAATAATGTTATTTATTTTAAAATGATTTTAATCTTCACTAATTATAAATTATTGGAAAAAAATCACCCTCAATAAGTAGTACCTTATTCAACTAGCAAACATGTGGTCTTAGACTACTCATTACAATTTTGATCCTCTACAGAGGAAATGGCTTTCTTTGGTAGCCCATACCTGCCAACTCTTCCGGATTTTCCGGAAGATTTTATTTTCATATTTAAAGTGGTAGTAAATATATACTATTTTTTCTTTTATAAACTTAATTTTTAAATGATTTTGATCACCACTATTCTCACAAAAATTAATCACATATATTAATGTGCGTTACTATCATGGTTGTCAACTTAAGTTTTCTCAAATACAACGTATTTGTTTGCTTAAAATTTAAGTTTTAATTCCATTTTAATACCACTGGAAAAAATGATAGTGGAAGGGATTAAAAGTTGGCAGGTATGGTAGCCTGAAAACTTGCATGTGAGGTTGAGCACTTTATAATAGGAAGATTTAATGAGGTTCGGCCTCATTACAGGCTGATCAAAGAATCTATCTAGTTGCTGCCAGTGATGCTTGACTTCAGTGATCTACTGGGAACCACATCTTTATGATTAGTCTATAGTGTTTTTTCCCCAGAAAGTGAAAAGATTAGCATGTATGGTGATGCAAGGATTTTTAAGAAAACCTCTTTTTAGAAATTTAGTTATCAAAAATCTAATAAAAAGAAACAAAAATGAAAAATATTGGTTATTTTGGAAAAAATAAAAGAAATATTCCTTCTAATCACTTTTTTTAAATTTTTTGCTACAATGAACAATAATAAATTTTCTGTATCACATCACAGACCCTAACTAATTTATTACTTAAGAGACAAGGCCTTCACTCACTTACTCCTTACCAATTCTCCTATTCCATTTGAAATTATAAAGCTAATTATGTTCTTTATGAGATAAATAGTAAAACCAAAAAGGTTACATTTTAATATTTTGTAATAATTGGATTAATTAGAATACTGACAGTTATGTAAAATAGCATGTTTTTACCAAGATTAAAGTTTCAACTATGTATTCGATTTCATGTGCAAGGAAAAACTAAAACGAGTTTCATTTTGATATTACTTACTTGTGTAATAACCCAATTGAAAGTTATGCTAAGTAAAAAATTGCCTATAAGACAGAGGTCTCAAATTAAGGCAAAATGTTTCTTAATAGATAAAGGGAAAACTAAGAACGTTTTATTCTGATGCTTTGTAATTGTCAGGTAAATTAGGAGTAGTAATCCCTCTGACTTGGTTTACAATAATGCAAAAGACACATTCCAACCAAAATAAAAAGTTTCAAATGTGAACCATATGTTTCATATTAAATTATAAGGATAAACTAAAAAGAGTTTTCGTTATTTGACAGTGTTAATTAGTCTAATTGACAGTAATGCAAATTCCCACCAAGTATTTGGCATATCACAAACTGATTACAGCTTTTGTGCCATCAAACCACAAAGGGGAAAGTTAATACAGGTGGACAATGTGGAACCGTGAAGCTATACCAATGGTATAGTGGTATACCGTGGGTTTGTGTAGCTATACCAACTGGCTGTTGCAAGCAAGTCCGAAAATGATTTTGAATCCTCTAATTTGAACTTAAAATACTAATGCTTCAGAATCCGAACAACTCTGTCAAAAGCAACAGGAAACAACATAGAGCCAGGATGTGAAGAGTTCATGCAAGCAGACCAGTTGGTAGGTGCAGATGACTAGTCAATTATAATATTGGCTAAGTTTAAAAATTAAATTTACAATAATAGAATCACTACAATATCAAAACCACCCATAAATTAAATCATTATTGCAGCTGGTTTTATAAAATAAAACTCTTGGAAGGGACATGACATAAATCAACTTTCTCTTGTCTCATAACTAATAAATTTTTTCCCTCAAATTTTGCAAAATACAGATAAGTAACTCCAGTCAGCCACCACTGGCAGAGGTATTTTTACACTTATCGGTGAGATTGAAGAGTCAGATTTAGATAAGGAGGAATATCATTAAAAATTAATATAAAAATTGCTTATGAATCTGGGAAATTCATTGCATTTCCACCACCACTCAATATCACATACCATCACGCATCAGCAAAACAGTCTTGTGTGTATTGGTACATCTTATTACTCAATAAGATAAACCTTCTCAGTTAAAAAAAAAAAAAGAAAGTATAAAGCCATCACAACAGTCCTTGACCAAGTTTAATTAGTTTTTGTTCATGTTCTACTATGATTCAGATAAGAATAAAAGTTGATGGCGCATTTTTACATTTAGTGAGGAAAATATGTTAGCTAGCAACATACTTAAACAGCAAGATTTGCATGTCAAAGATAAATTTAAAATTCTACAAATCTACGACAAACTTCCCAAATGTAGTCAACATGGAGTAGCAACTAAATTAAAAACTTTTCAAGCTGCCAATTTTCAACATTCCAAAAGAGGCAAAAAATAATTCTGATGAAATGAAAAAGAGAAAAAATTATTAATAGGACATGAATGTAAAGAAAATCAAGAGAAATCAAAATTGTTTTGCTGGAATGATTCAAAAATATGCATGATTGTAAAATTTCCCTGTCAAAGGCAATTTATTTTTTACATAAAGACACAAGACTTTGCTAATCTATTTGGAAATTCTGGCTTTAAAGAAAGTAAACAGAACAGCAAGATACATATTCTGCATCAGCTGAGAATTAGAGTAAAGGATATATTGATTGAAGATTATAAAACAGGTGAATTTTTTCATAAAAATAAACTATAATTATTTTTCTTTGTACATCCAGAACACATGTTACAGATTAAAAATGAATCATCAAATGTAAAAATAGTTAAAGATTAACCATGCGTTATGAAATATTTTACACTATGTATCAAGAGATAATAATTTAGAAACTTCAGGAGAAAAATCTTTTCAAATTCCAAGAAAAAGAGAAGTCTGTTTTGGAGAATAAAGAAATAACAGTTCCAATCCTGTCCTCCCGAATAGAATCAATATCAGAAAAGCAAACAATAAACTTACAATAAACATTACAGAAAATATGAGATAATATTTGAAAGTTACAAAATATGTTTTAAATTAACTTAACCTATTTAAGGAAATTATGAATCTGAATTATTTTAAATTCTGCTAATCAAAAAACAATACACTAATATTTTTCAAATTATAAATTTTAGTTAACAAGTAAATGTGAAATAAAACAAAAAAATAAAATATAAATGCATTAAATAATTTAGCTTTCAGTGCATTAGCAAATTTAAACCTAGAAGCCTTGTATTTTTTCTTCTAAAATTTGGATATGCCAGTATATAAAATCAGTTGCTTTATAAAATTAAACATTGTCTCAGAATAAATGTGTATTTAAGAAGTGGCAGGCACTATAACACTATACAGAGTGTGGCAAAAAACTAAAAGTTATAGCAGCACAGAATAGAAGTAAACTATTTTTTTTATAATTTTTGTGTGTTGTCACCCACTTCAGTTATAAAATCTTTTTTTCAATATATCTCTTAGTATAAATATTATTTTTCAGCTTTTTTACAATGTCAAGCAATAGATCTGCTATAGAAATATTTAGGCAACTAACTCAAAACTCCAGGCAAGGAATTAAGTTTCTTATGCTAGGGAATACACTAAACCACACTAAAGTTAGGACTCTCTAAAGCAATCGCTTCAGCAAGAATGGGATAGATTAAAGATAAAAGACTTGCATCCATTGCTGAGAATTTCAACACGCATTTGGATCTCTGCATTGCTATAAAAGGCAGCTACTTTGAAAACAATTAAATTATTATTTTTTTAAAAGTCTTATTATTCTTATTATTTCTTATATTTTGTTAAGTTTATTTTACGTAAATTTATAATGAAAATAGTTTAGTTTTTCTTGCTGCACCCTGTATTTTTATAAAAATTACACAAAACTGACATGCATATGACCGATTTTATAATATAATTGACTGATTATATATAACTAACTTAATAATATTAGTGACTCAAACAAGATTATACTAATAAAATTTATTTGAGATCTAAATTACAACTCAGTGTTGATACATCCTACTAAGGAAAATAACAATGGAGTTTTTGTAGTTATAATGTTGGACTAAAACTGTAGTGAAATGACAATTAACATTGAGTAAGCTGGTTAAAAAATGCCAAGACCTAAGTTTTGAAAATTATTATTTTTTCTTTTTTGTATACTATAAGCACCAAGTTTGTAAAAAAACAAAACAAAAATGAATATAAATGTAACTGAATGCCGGAAAGCAGAACTAGTTTCAGGGGTGCACAGTATTGCATTTTGGTCTATCTCATTTATATAAAAACAAAAACAATGCTTTTAAGATCTTTCAGCAGATGATGTAAAGTAATTATATTTAAAAAAAATTTCATTAGCACTATAATAATTATTGATACTTTTACTCAGGTTAATTTTTGTATTTTTGTCAAGTTTTTCACACGGCATCAGTGTTGCATGGCTTCAAAAATATTGCTGCATATTTTATAGAGCCCTAACTACTTTCGATAAAGATTATTAACTTCTGTTATAAAATCATAAAGAAAATACTAAATTTCAGGCATATTACTGAAGAAAAAAAATATTCTAGATCTAAGCTAAGGACTCCTGAATTTTCAGAATATTAAATCAGGTTTTATACCTACCCTATGGTAAAGTGACAGGAAAAATGCAGATGGAATGCTTGATGCATCTTCACTGTTGCGCTGTGCCTGCATGTAAAAAATATAAAATTAAATCAAACAAAACAGTTTGAGGAAGCATTCTAGCACTCAAGAAAACAAGACTAATATGGCTTCTGTAGTTTAGCAGTAATAATAAACTCATTTAACTCATATGTACAGTAATATCATATTTGCTCAAGAAATATCAAACTTCTTCCTGTCTCAATAACCTGTGTATTTCTATACTTAAAGATGGGGGGGGGAGACAATTTACATTAACAAAAGATTCAATTTAAACAGTTGTACACTATCGATAACCACTGTAAACATGTATGCAAGTATGTATATGTATGTGTGTATATATATACATATCTATATATAAATATATATATAAACATGCACTCATATATCTATTAGATATCAAACTCAAGCATTGCAATATTAATCTTAATATTCTTTCTACTATATTAGGGTAACCGGAAAGTAATGTCGTTTCGGTGCATTTGATATCTCTTACCAAGATTTTATTTTTAATTAATAATGTTTCATCCTCGTTAGCAACAACCTTTCAATGCCGGATTGAAGGTGAATAAAAAAAAATGAATTGGTTTTTAAGACTAACAAGTATTTAACTCGCCGAAACGACATTACTTTTCAGTCCCCATAATATTTTGATAATTACAACTTTACCAAGTGCCTGTAAAGGGAATACTTATTAAAACTGTTTATCTCATTCGGGGCAAGAAAACTAAAAGATGTTATAAGAAAAAAACACACCTTTCTGATAGCAGCATATCCTTCTTCATCATAAACTTTCACGCCATGTTCACCACTAAATATCTGTTCTGCATTTTCAGTCCAGCTGAACTGAAAAGATATTTCATTCCATCAGATTTAAAAAGAAATATGTGACGAAAGAGTGAAACAAAATTCTAAAATATTTACATTCTATTAAATTCCACTAAAAGACAAAAAAAAAGGAATATTTTTGTTTTGTAAATAAGCAAATCATAATTATGGCAATTTATTTGATTACATTCTTCCAAAACAAAAGCAATAATTAAAAATATGAGCTAACTTATAATTTAAATACTGATAAAATATATCAAACTGAATCATATAACATAGAAATCTGATAAAATATATCAAAAAATCATACTTTATAATTTATCAATTTGTATTTTAACGCATCATAAACAAATTTAGATTACAAATTCTTAAAAAAAATAACAATACAGTAGAGAAACATTTATCCGGTATCCAGATAACCGGGAAAAAGTTTTCTCGGTTTTCCCGCCATTTTAAACTAGAACAATTATGAAAAAAAAGCGGAAATTGGACTCATCCTTGAAATTGAGTAGAGGAAAATGTGAGGAAGGGGAGCATTTTTTCACCCGTTTACCCAGAGAAACATCATTTCTTCCTTGACCTTGAAGATCTTTAGATTGAGAGGAGGCAGGGAAGGGAGGAATGTTTTATTTTCTCTTTTAGGCCGTCAATCAAACTCAAAGGAGTGGCATGCTAGTGCATAGCTGCCAACCTTAGGAATCAAAAATTAGGAACACTATATGCGACAAAATTATACGCACTAATTACAGGAGTAAGACAAAAATTTAACTATTAAATCATAACATTAATAGACATATATTTAAATATGTAAATTAGTAAAACAAAATTATAAACACTATCTTTTGTGGGAAACTTATGATATTAATATTTTATAATTAGGAATACCGGTATAATAGATTAAAAACAAACATTACCTATTAATATATAATTATTTATCTCCAAATTATAAAACACAGGTAAATAATAATCTACATCATAAACAAATATTTTTGCGGTTTTGGATGTCCTAAACTGGTTTTGGACAGGACACGTGGGTTTTACTGTCTTAAAGTGTCCAAAACCTTGAACTTTGGAAAAAGATAAAAATTCTATAGGTGTAACCATTGTACACATAATAATTACATGTATCAATAAATATTTGATATTTTTTATACAATTTACTTTAACTTATTAAAGGAAAATAATATAATATGAAAAGGTTTATAATTTTTGAAGATCCATAATTCATTGAACAACAAAATTGAATACCTTATCCTTTAAATATAAATATGCTTTAAATACTGATAAATAATGTTTTCGCATAAGGATAGATAAAGCAATATTAAAAAGTAATAATTTTTTAAACAAAATACTAAATTTGTTTAAAAATTAACCTTTTACTTTTCGCAATATTTTTTTAAAGGAATGTTATAATTTCTGCATCACAGGATGATAAAAAAAGACATCTATTTTAATGTATTAACAGTTTTGAAGGGCATAACATCAGTTTCAGTTACTGACACTGGTGATGTATCACCACTATGCTAAAAAAATCGAACATGAATGAAATAAAAGTATTCTTGACTCGTACTATAGAAAAATAAACCTGTTTATGACTAACCAAGCACTTAGTCCCTATTAGCTTAACCTGCATGGCTAGGTCAAACTTCAGTTATGTACTATTGAATGAGAGGAGCAATTGAACTTGATTACCGATTAATCTTTCTTTGTTTAATGTTTAAATTGAAGAGTCAAACAATATTAATAAAACATTAGACTTTTAAAAACAAATATTCTCTAGTAGATTTAATTATCAATATGCTATTAGTTTTATGTTTATTTTACCTTTAAATATTGTTCAGATAAAATTGTGACATAATTTTTGTAAAAGGGTTTTGGACAGTTTAAGACAGTTTTGGACAGGACGGTTTAAACCGTGGACAAATCCATTCTGTCCTAAACCTTGCCAACTCTGGTTTAAATACTACAAAGAAAAATTTTCAAAAAATAATAATATAGTGAAATAATCAGCAACAGCTATTGGAATAGTATTTTCCAATAAAAAGCTACTAAAAATTACTTTAGCACAATAATCACAGGATGCGTGCTTGTGGCAATCAGAAAAAAAGGATTGGTTTAAAATCAAAAATTTTATGAAAATTCAGATTTTTTATAAAAATATCAGATTGGATTTAAAAATTAGGAACAAATCCGAAAAATTCTGAACAGTTGGCAGCTATGCTAGTGGTGGAGAAAAATATATTTATCTATTTGACACCGATTAATAAAAATAAAATCTTTTCCTGTCGAATAAATTCTGACTCCTTGGAAGTGCGGTATCATTTGCAAGTTTTTCGTAATGTGGAATCACATCTGCTTTAATTAAAAATAGAATTGTTTATTAATTTAAACATACGATTATTTTATGAAGCGGATTGCAGTTTTGTTTTTCTGATTCCACTAGCTCCTACGATTTTACAACTTTTGTCAGTCCTTGAAAAAGCTAATAACTACTAAGGTGACTGATAAGGGGATTAGTCTAAATCATTCACCACTAAACCATTTTAGTTTGAATAACAGACAAGAAATGCTAGACAAAATGCAATGCCAACTTGCTTCAAATAGAAGTTATTAAAATTGTACTTCAAGAATATAATACATGGCTGAAATCGTTAAAAATTATTAATTCTTTTTTTCTCTTTTATTCTAAGTTGTAAGTTCATCACTACATTAAAAAAAAAAAAAAACATTCCAAATTTTTAAGTATTTAAAAAAAATATATAGAATAAAGCGTACATTTTAGAAGCTACAGCATTATATCTTAAAGTACACACACTTGATGAAAGTAATTACTATGTGCAGAACATTGAAATACCCTTTTTAATGACGAAGATCAATATATTTTTATCTTAATATGAACATAAGTTCATAATGAACAAAAAAATCAAATCATGATAAATGAAATATAAATTTCCTTTTAATACAATACACAAACAATTACAAAATATATTGAAAAACTACCTGGTATTTTAAATTATCAGGAGATTTTACAGCTGGAACAGATTTGCCAGATTTTTCAGCATATAAAGCAAGTTCCTGCATAAAAAAAAGAAACAACCACCTATAAATCATAGTACTGATTGAACTATTCATGTTTAAGTATAAAACTTTTGGTATAATATCAGAAATGCAAATTTTTGTAATTATTTTAATTTTAATTAAAGAATTTCATGTGAGTGAGGTTTTTAATAATTATAATTTTTATATTATTGCAAAGATATACAATTATATTAAAACCTTAATTTATTATAAATTGAAGACATTTATATACTCAAATTATTGAAGTTTAAAACTGCTATGTTTGATGTAAAATTATGTTTATGATATAGAATTTACTTAAAATATTTGTATATTTTTAATCTCATATCTTTTTTTCATTGGTTTATGTATTAAATCATCAAAGAAATAAACAAAAAGAAAAGCTTGGCATTATTTGGTCACTTGATTGAATTATAATTGATACATATAAAGCCATTAAAATATGTTTTGTGATACATAAAAACAACACTTTAAAGATTCACTTCTTTGAATATGAATTAACAATACAATACATTTTTATATAAAAATAAACAAAACTGAAAATACAATTTGTTTAAAAAATAAAAACAAAAGCATGATAAATAATTTATGAAAATAGTAAATTCACTTCTTAACCCAGCATTTAGCCATTTCTCGGCAATAAATTACCATAAACTCCGTTTAATTCTATGTAAGGCAAGGACAGTGGATGTCCCTTTGTTTATGAATGATTTTTCATTTAGCTCTTTATGGACAAAGGTCAGAATTAGAAAATTCCAATAAAAAAAAATAATTTTAAAAATATTTCTATTAATATTCTTTAAAAATTTCTTAAATGAATTTTTTTTTTAAACTTTTAATTTTAAAAGGGAAAAAAAGGTCTATTGATAAAATAGGGCCAGAAATTTACTAGTTTTAACCTCCTAAAATACTTTTAAAATTTTTTCACTATATTCACTACACTAAAAAAATTGAGAGTAAGTAAAATTTCAACTAAATTTTTTTTCTTCTTCAAAAATAGCAATTAAGGCCTTAAACTTATAGTTAATGAGAAAACAACTAAGAAATTTTCCTACAGACTAATATATAAAGCAGCTTTAGGATTTTGGAGGAACAACTAGCTAGTTTTTAAATGATTAAATACCATTTCAACTTGAAAATATCTTTATTATTGAATAAAAAATTGCTGTACTTTCAAACTCAATTTAAATTTCCTAATTAAAAAAAACTTTGGAACATTTTATAAACTTTTATCAAACTACATTATTTCCGTTGAAAGATTCCTGTTTGTTAACCATGTGTTTCAGAAAACAAAAAATTTTAACCAAAAGAAAGAAAAAAAGAAGCAAAATCTTTAGAAAAATATAACAATGCATACATTTTCACATTAAAAGTAATAAAATTAGTTACCTTAACATATGGAGTACAAGAAACAGAAATTTCACTTATGAGAGCAACCTCAGACACCACCATGCCATCAGTAGTTGTGTAAGTATTTTGCTCCACTTTCGGACTTTTACATATTTCACCTATCAAAAACAAAAAGCACTATGCAATATTTTCACTATTTAGATTTATTGACTGCATTAAGGAATTTATGGAATGAAAGAGACATTTTGGAATTAAATTTTTAGAAAATTTAGAATAAAATTTACCAAAACTACAAAAGACACAAGTTTTCAAAAGATTTTTAGGAACGGTGAATGATGATCCACTGTACCTCATATGGAAAAAGAAATACTGAAATTTTATACAGACTATACAAATGCAAATAATTTTTAAAAATATAAAAGCTACAATACTTCTTTTCTGGAAATACTTAAAAGGGAGTAATTCAATCTCTAAAAATTAAAAAAATTACTTTAATCAGCTCAAAAGTTAAAATCTGATCAAAATGGCTTCCTTGGTATTTCCCATGTAGTTCTTTTATTTGTATATAACTAGTACTATGCTACCAGTTACGAAGCTTCATATGAGCAAAAAAATACTGGATAAAAATAGATTTAAAAGGAGGTGGTCCACTGCACCCCATTTTTCCCTTATATTAATTTACATAAAATGTCTTTGCATGCATTACAAATGGGTGACTATATCCACAGGTTTTTGATAGTTTTAAACAGTTTTTGATGCTCTTTTTGGTGCTTATCAAAAACTTTCAAAACCTAACGTTGGATTCTATGAGCAATAAAAATACTTTAGTTAAAAAGTTTTTTTGCTCATTTACAGAAATTGTAATTTTTTCAAAAGACCAACATATGAATTTTCAATGCTGTTGTTGAAGGATCAGATAAGAAAAGATTTTTAAAACAGAATCAATTAAGTAAGGAACCTAATCTTAAAATAAATAATGTGTACCAAGGCTTTCTTTTTTAGAGTAGGAGGCTACAAACAATTTTAAGTGACTAGTTTTAAAGCACAATTTGAGAAATACCCTAATATCATATATCTTATAAGAAATATAAACGTAGAGCATTGAAATGCAATTTAAGCACAAGATAGTTTTATAGAAAACTATAAAATCAAAATATCTGAAAGCATAGCAAAATTTTTTCACCGAGACTATAATTAGTATTAAGATAAACTTAAAGTAACCGGAGATATTTAAGATTTATTTTAAAATTCTAACAATTCTCACCTAATGCACTGTGAAAAATGAGAAGAGAAAATAGTTGTAATAATATTAATGACATCTTGAAATCAAACTTATGAATAAAATTTAATTGCTAAAGATTTTGATTTAAATTAGATATTCTAGAGGGGCAAGATACACATCGGCAAAAGCAACGTCACGTCAACAATACAAGTAGAACATATTTTGTTGCACGCTTCCGGCTCTCTGTTTCTATCCGTATTTATTATCACCAAAAAAATCTGTTTTTTAATCATAGTAACCTGCGTGGAATAAATGGTATTTTCTACACTAGAGAACGCTGCGAGCTCTTGACTGCCTACATTACCTCAACGTGATCTTTGTGTTTTTAGGCTCTCGTGAACAGTATTTCCTTTATACGTTTATTTGTTAACTGATTTATTATTTCTGTCTGAAAGAAGAATCATCTTTTGAAGACCTGTCATTCTAAAACATAAGAATTGTCATTTGAAAAAAGAATCGTTATAAAACATTTCTTACCTTGTAAACACTATACCAACTTTGAAATTCAAACCTAAATGATAATTTCTAAAATGAAATTTATTCGATGCTCGAACAATTTGTTAATACTAATGTATGATGGTTCACGGCTTGCATCAAAAACAGACAGTAATAAAAAAATAAAAAGTGGCCAAATCAGAAATGCCGGAAAAGCAATTTTTTTTTCAAATCTATCAACCATGTCACCTTTTTCAACAATACATTTTCGAATAACTAAAACAAATTTTCCCTTCAAACTTACCAGAATTACTTAATATCATTAATATCTTATGAAATACATCAGATTTGAACTCAGAAATTATATAATTTTTTTCTTTTATCAAAAGCAAAATTAACTGTTTGAAAATATCGCCTCGCAGAATACGCTGTAGTGAACAGCTGTATACTTCTTTACCGAAAGTAGACAAGGTCAAAAGTTTTAGATTGTTGTTGTTTACATTTATATTGAAGTCCCGCAGTGGACTGATCGTTAAGACACGGTTCCCAGCAGATCACCGAAGTCAAGCATCACTGGCTGCGGTCAGTGTGCGGGTGGGTGACCACTTGGATCAGTCTGCGTAGGGACCGAGGGTGTGCGGTATTGGTCCTCGTTAAACTGTGCTACCGTAAAGTGCTCGACTTCGCGCGCAGGTCATCGGGCTACCGAAGCGGGGGTGCCATCCCCTCCGCAGAGGATCAAAATTGTGATGGCATGTCTTCGGATCATCCTCTGGGATGTTTCCCAGACCGTCGCCAATAGCCCATTGTGCAGCTCTAGTGCGACGTAAATTAACAACAACAACATTTATATTGAAACCACTATTTATACGATTTTAAGAACTGCTGTTCTGATCATTCACTATATACTGATCATTCAATACATTTAAGTGCTGTAGACGTGCGCTCGAACTACATACAAAATCAGTGAGACGATTTTGGTTAGTTTACCCTCTCCAAATTTGTGAAGGGTGCTTTTTCGCCAAAAGCGATAAATAATTTCTACTTAGTTGCTCTCTTTACTTAACTGATTACGCACGACGCATATTTTTCGCATGCAGTGTGAATACTACTTATAGAACCAGGCTAGGAGGGTAATAATGCTCATAATATTGGAAAACTGACAATTTTACCATTTTAATTATTAAAAAAATTATTTCTGTTCGAGTTGAAGTATATTATTTCTGAATACTTCTTCTGTTTATTGGAGTCATCAAAAAATTTATTCGCAATCGCAACGCCATCTGGGGAGAAGACCCGTTCCATGTCTTAACCCTCTCTATTTCCCTCTCCTCCTCCTCGCAATGCGCAATGGTATAGGAATGTACTATGGTATTTTCCCCTTTCCTATCATTTTTTGCATTTAATGGTCACAAATGACTTTTAAAATTTTCATGACGCTTTCTTTTGGAACTATGTTCAATGTAGTTTGCAGTTCCATTCCCAAGTAACACCTAATATTAAATAACATCAGAAAACAGTAAAATTTTACGTTATCTTGCACAACTTCTAACATTCGAAGAATACAAAAGATCACTTTTTGCTCTGCTTTTTATAATATTAGATTCTATGCAAACTAATATTATCTAGTTCTTGCCGTAAGATTATTTTGCATTAGTTTTAATACTATATAATATTAAATTTTGTAATTGCGTTGTTTCTTATTTTTTAAAGTAAGCAGGAGGAAGATTTGGATGGCAGTAGAATAATTCTGCAATATAATTTTTCTTAATTTTCTGCATTGCTGTGAAGCAGTAAAACATAGAACAGTAGTTTTATAATGGCTATCCATGCATTGTTTACTTAGCAATACGGAAATACTAAATAAAATTATATTAGTGCTCTGCTACCATCCACTTTCCTCCCTCTTTCTCAAAAGTATATCTTATGTTCAGCTAAATTCTTGAACATTTCAAATTTATTTAAGAAATAATACTATATTACAACTTTTCATGTTATTTTTTTCTTTTCTTCAGACATGGGGTTTTCTGTTGTATTTTATATCATTAATAATTTTCAAGTCTTTAAAAATGTATTCATAAATTTTTTTGGAAATCAGCCAATTATATTAAAATCTCAATTGAATTTGGTAGTTTGTAAAACATGTTTTATAAAAGTCGTTCAGCTCTTTGTAATTTCACAATTGTCATTATTTATATTCTGAAATTATAATAAAAAACCACAGTTCATAATTACCAAGTTAAATTTACATTTGAATTTAGTGTAAAATTTATCTTTAAACTTTTTTTTCTATTTAAATATAGCTATGTTATTCATTTCCAAAAATATTAAAATAAAATTATATCTCAAATTTTTAAATTCTTATTTTTCGTAATAATTGAGACAATAAGTAAAATTTTAAAATATTCAAATTACTTACTTGCAAACACCTTTTCACTTCTTTTTTCACTGAAATTAAATGGAAAAATGCTTACATAACTTTATCATTTTAGAATCTGAAATTTTACTTAATAAAACACTTTAAACAAACGCAAAGGCACCGGTAGAAATATTTTCAGGGAGTGCAACCAGGAAAGTCTTTAATATTTTTTATTAAAACATTTGCCAAAAACTTTTTGTAATGCAAAAATAATTTTACTTTGGCGCATCAGAAATTTTTAGCGATTCGATAATTAGTTAAAGCTACTATTTACTAACCAACAATTTTAGTCAAAAAACTCAGGTAACATTTAAATTTCGAAACCAAAAAAAAGTAGCAAGCATTGTATTTTCTTCAAAATTAAATTTGCACAAACATTTAATTGCGTACAAAAATGAGACAAAAAAATAACACCTTTTTTTTACTATAAGTTGCTTTTTGTATTAATGATTCAAATTTGACTACCATCCGTTACTTTTTGAGAATTCTGCTATCACAAAATTTTTGTTCAAAATCAATCAATTCCATTGTTTGTATTTTGTTGGTAAGAGATTATGCATTATAAACATAGTAAAAACAAAAAACAAACATAACATTATGTGTAAACGTCTTAAATGGGACTTTCTCTTTAAAAAAAAGAAGATTCAATCTCACAACATGTTTTCATTAAGAATATACAAGACCTATTAGATGAAAGTTTAAGCAATATTCTTTTCTACATTGATAGGGAATTTTCATCATAATGCAAATGTTATTCAGCTTAAAGTTAAAGAACTTTTCACAATAATGATTATTTTACAGCTATATTATTTTAAGCATGATAAAAATAAAAGAGCATAAGCTTTTGGTCTCAAATTTCAAATGAATAATCATGAGAAAATTTCCGAAATTTCCGAATAAATACAATGTTGATAATAAAAATACTCACAAGTTTGAGATAGACTTTAAAATCAGCGTTAAAAGAAAATTGCGTCCGATATCATACTGAAAGATTAAAAATAGCCTAATTTTAAATATATTCAACTGTTTTCGTGACACTTAACCACTATTTACTATAAAGACTTTCTAACGCTATATTTTATAAAATTTTATCAATGCAAATATCATACCTAACAAATCAAATTTTTTAAAATGTTGAAGATTTATTGCAAAGTTGTAGAAAAAATTACACACTACAGTAATTAAAAAAAAATCCATGATAAACATAACCATTTCACAGCATAATAATTGCATTTAAAAACAAAACGCACTATAAATTAAATTTCGTCCAATTTTAATGCAATACATTACCTTCATTGTTTAAAATTAACATCAATAGCCTTCTAGTAAAACGCAAGTTAAAAATACATAATTGCTTTTAAAAAATATATTTTTTCTTACGATTTTAGAACTATTTGATACAGTTTGAGTTTATTTTTCCAATTGTAAGTCTTTATTTACTTGAAATTATATTTTCAAGCGGTCAATGAATGCATTTATGAAGCGTTCAGCAGCAATTAAAAATGTGCGTACCATGCAAAACAGGGATGAATCTCACAGGTTTTCCTCTTTCTTCAAACTTCAACACCACAATCAATATGAGGACTTTCCGCCGTGACAGATTTAAAGTTTTCCTTGCTTAATATCCCCACTGTTTGCTTCATTCGCTATGAGGATAGAACTTAGAACTCCTAGCTTTCTATCAGAATGCGCAATTTCCCCCATTTGTAGTATCCAACAGTCCTTCTCAAAATTGGATTGACTCCGAGAAGAAGCTTCATTCGAAGAGACATTTGAAAACAAAGAGCTGTAGCTGAAACTATAAAATAAAATAAAATAAATTTTGCTATGAAAAAACCGAATTTAAAACTATTTAACATTGGATATTTATTTGAAACTTAAATTATTTAATTTGAAAAATTGCAATATCCTTAACAATGAAATTCAATGGGCAAATTCCGGTATCGATACCTGCGTCAAAAAATTTCGGCAGTGCCACATAAAAAAAAAAAATTAAATAAAATTAATAATAATAACACAGTGGGAAGGAGAATAACTAAAAGAGTTTAGCTCATAAATACCCCAAGCAAACTATCACTTATTAAAACTCATTAGGTTTCCAACATTAGGTTTCCATAGTCACCAACTCATTAGGTTTAAGGAAAAAGTGGCTAAGACATTATAGTCTACCACCAGTTGAAAACTTAAATTTTCAGATCTACTTTTAGTTGGAGTGAACATTCAGGCATATTCTGATACAAAAATATATCAAATTAAATGATTTAATTTTTATACATCGCACAAGCTTATACGAAGAAAACAGGAAAATTTCGATTGTTTTTTGAGCATTTTTAATAAAA